CTTTTATTCGTACTTTAGAAAGCATAAATTTTAGCAAGGTTTGATGCAAAGTGTAAACAAGTCAAATCAGTTAATAGTCATTTTAGTCGTTAAATTTTGTATAAATGCTTCACACACCCGACAACAAATGATGTAATTTACGCAGCAAAAGCAGCTTTTTAAAAACTGAAACATTTTAAACTTTTCAAAACTTTTTAAACTTTTTAAAAACAAAACAAAAAACATTTGAACTATCCACTAATCTGAAAGTGCATCATTAATTAATGCAGCTGCTAGTAGTTAAGTGTCTTTTTGTGAATCCTTCTAAAGTGAAGCCTGTTTATGCTTTATGTATTTGTTAATGTAGAAAAAAAACCTTAGGGGCCAGAAGTTTCACCTGTGGAGTTCAGACCAAAATCATAGTCAAGTATTAATTTGACTAAACATCTTGATGCATCTCAGTAATCCAGGTAGAAAAAAAAATCTAAAAGAAAAACTGAAAAAAAAAATAGGAGAGGACCTACTTATTTTTTTTTCCTTTTGATTATGACTAAACCTTTATTTAACCAGGTAGAACTCATTGAGATTAAAAATCTCTTTTTCAAGTGAGACCTGACCAAGAACAGCAGCAGCACACAAATATTACCAAATTCAAAACTACAGATATTAAACTACAATCAAATACATCATGATAAATAAATAAAAAAAAACAAGAAATTCAAACAATTTTTAAACGAGAGATGCCAACATATACCTGTCAGCATTTGTCTGGTTACTAGGCTGTAATCTCCTGTCATCATGTGTAGAAACATGATTTCAACCTGGAAAGACTCACACACAGAAAGAAAGCAAATAGTTTTATTAACACAATCTTACTGAAACTTCTGACCCGCACAGCCAATCAGCGTGGAGTTCTTTTCTAAGCCACCATCCAATCAGCACGAGAAAAAACAGTCACGTGCAGAGCTCAGCCAATAGAAATAAAACAGAAACAGCCCTTTCCYGTCTGCGACGTAAACCGAGGAGCTAAGCTAACCATGAGCTAATAATCCGCCAGGATCTTGGTGAAATTTATCATCCGAAGTGTTCGTTCAGCACCCGAAGAGTGTTCGGAAGGTGTGTAGGAATATATTTACAGACTTTTAGTTTACCTGTCTAAGTAGTTCGCTTCATTTAGTTGTCCGAAAGCAACTATTTACCCAGCAGCTATTGTTAGCAAGGCTCTGTGGAGGCAGTGGCAACACCGCAGCTCTCCTCTGCCTGAAGACTTTACTGCATTCTATAACAAAGCAAGGTTTTACATAGATAATAAAAAAAGACTAATTAGTGTTAATGTTTATCTTGTTACATTACGGTTGGTAATGGTTAGACAGTTTCCTACGTGTTGTCAACACTCAGAAACATGGAGTGTGGTGTCCGTACACTAACTTACTGTCCTGACAGCACCTTTAATGATGCATTTTTGTTGTTATATGTAGACTGTCTTTGTCATGCTGCTTATAATGATATTAAAATTCTAAGTCATCCAAGTCATGATCAATCCCCCCAGAAAAGAAAAGAGAAAATAATGCAAAAATAAATAATAAAATAAAATCAACTGAACTTCTATTCTAAATATAAGTCCAATTTTGTGTTTTAACTTTTGATTACACCGATTTTACATTGTAACATTAATGTTGGTTGAAAACTAATCGTTTTATTGGTTTTAGTAGAAAGTTAATTCACAAATTATTTATATTTTTCTAATCCATCAGAAAAGCTTATTAAATAAGTTTCTCAAAACAGTTAAAATTAAACACAATTCTAGGGGAAAAACATAAAGTCACTTCAGTATAGGGCTGCCACAAACGATTATTTTTATAATCGATTAATCACCGATTATTTTTTCGATTAGTCGACTAATTGGATCATACGTTAATTGAATAT